AATGCCTGAAGTTTCTTTATAATTTCATCCACGGAATCTTCAACTGCACCCACGCCTTCATAAAATTCAATTTGTCCTCGTAGAACTTTCTCGAGTAAACCAAGAACTTTGTCCAACAGAGAATCCATTGCGTGTGCTGTAGATTTTTTTTTTGTATTTTTTGGGTGAGTTCAAGAATGAAAGCACCAATTGATACGGAATCGTATCGGGATAGAGAAGGATTTCGAGCACCTTCAAGCTCCAAGAACAAAAGAGGCGAGAAAGAGAGAGATTAAGGTTTAGGAGAAAGTATTTTCTTTATTCATTGATAAATAATTTATTGAAATGGATACATTTATAGCTAGGACATCTAAAGAATCCTTACCATAGAAGGAAACTAAATAATATAGGAATCCTAATTATAAATGGTAACAAATATCCTAACAATAGAATATTACTTTCTAATAATAATATAATTAACTAACCATAAATAATAATACTACCTAATATAATAATAATAACCACTAACCATTAATAATAGTAATAATAATAATAATAATAATAATAATAATAATAATAATAATAATAATAATAATAATAATAATTAATCCCGTATCAGTATGGTGTTCATAGTGGTAATTTTTCCCTAAAACTAGTTAGACATATAGTTGAGGGTACATCAAAATATGTACCCCAATGCATTTTCATTACATAATTTAAATTTTGATAAAAAAATTAATAAATAAATATAAAATCAGTGATTAACAATGGTGGTGTACTCATAGTTTTATTAAATAATATTGATGTTCGAACTCGTGATCATTTACTCAAGAAAATTTGTATATTATGTCAAAGAATCAATTCAACAAAAAGTCCAAACTTGAGATTATAGATCCATGAAAGATTTTTGGTAGAACTTTCTCGATAAGAGTAAAAAGCCATAAAAATATCAAAATAGGAGTTATAAATCTTTTCAGACCAAAGTATGAGTCCACATTGTCATTGTTACACTGCCACACTCATCACATTGTTAAAATGTAACTACCACACTACCGCCGCAACATTACCATAAATTACCGGTGGCCACCCGAATGCCGGTGCAGATCGCTGACGGTTGACTGATCACACTCACATATCACACTGTCATCGCTTTTCCATCACACTGCCAACGTGTACTCTTACAGTACACTACACTGCCATTATGCTCATATTATGGTCTTAAAAGACTTAGAACTCATATTTTCATATTTTTATACTTTTTAACCCCTATCAAGCTAGATTTCTTAAAATTTTTATATTCTATCATCATATACTACCCTATTCCAAATTAAGAGTCTGTTCTTTGAGGATTGAAAAAACGAGTTAGATGTTGAAAGAAACTAGAAAAAACTATAAGAGACTAGAAAAATTAGAAATAACTACAAGAAGTCTGAAAAAATTGAAAGAAATTAAAAAAATTAGAAAACAACAATTTATTTAAGTATATTTTACATAGTATTCTTATTGTAATTGTTATTGTTGTTGGTGTTCTTGTTGTTGTTGTTGTTATCACAATAGGTAAATGCAGTAAATAAAATTCAACCACGTAAATAGTGTACATGTCATTTAATGAAGGGAAAAGAGAGTAGTATAATTATTTCTTTTTAATTTAAAACATTGATCTTTTTCCCTGGTCAATTTAGATTAATATTCCATAATTTTTGGAACATAGTTTAGAATCATGTAAATTTAAAAACAAATCACAATAAATTGTATTTTGTATTATTTATATTAAAAATGGGAAAAAATAATAATGGATGTGAATAAAAAATTAGTAGTTGGGAAACATAAAACAGAAAATTTAAAATAATTTATAAACTATATTTATAATAATTACAATAATACATGATAAATATATTATTTTTAGAGTCATTAATTAGGAGTAAAAAAAGATTGAAATAAAAGAGAATAGTTGGGAAAACAAGAAGAAATGAGAAAAATAGGAAGGATATGAAAAAAAACTCAAAGAAATAGGAAGGAACCGGAGGAAAATGGAAAAACTGGAAGAAGCCAAAATATGAGTCTTAAATTTTTTAAGTTCAAAATAGGAGTATAATGGTAGTGTCATGAAAAAATACATGTTGGCAGTAAAATAGAAATATAATGACAGTGTGATATTGTCAACTATTGGTGGTCAGTGGCGGTACTCTTGTGGCCACACTCACCATATTGTCACATTGTAACTTCCACACTACCACCGCCACACTACCATTCATCACCGGATGCACTCGAGTGCCGTTGCTGATCGCCGATGAATGACAAGTCACACTCACATATTACACCATCACTTTTTCATCACACTAGCAATGCGTACTCTTACACTACACGGGTCATTATACTCCTATTTTGGTCTTAAAAGACTTATGACTCATATTTTAGTATTTTTATACTTTTTTTTACCCCTATCCAACTAGATTTCTTAAAATTTTTATATTCCATCATCATATACTACCCTATTCTAAATTAAGAGTCTATTCTTTAGGGTTGGAAAAAAAGAGCTAGATGTAGGAAGGAACTAGAACAAACTAGAATATTAGGAGAATCTGTAAGAACGCGGAAAAAACAGAAAGAAACTAAAAACACTTCAAAAGTAAATTTAAGTGTATTTGTTAGAGTATATATATTTATATTTCTATTTATGTAATTGTATCCTAGTAAATATTCTTATTTCCTTGTATGTACTCGGGCCCAAAACTAAAGCCCAACAATCTTGTATTTATACTTCGTAAATATTCAATGGAAACCAGCTCGATTTTACCAAATTCTACATGGTATCGGAGCCAATTCCCGGGAAATATCTCAAACCCTAGTTTTTCTTCTCTCACGGTGCCGCCACCGTAGACACGCAGACCGCCTCACGACGGTCGTTCTTGCCGCCGGCTCATGTCGGTCACTCTCTCGCCAGCTCACGTCGACGAGCTCCCTATGCCGGCTCACGTCGGTTTCCGACTCTCTTCCGCCAATATGACAGCTGAAACTCCCAAAAAGGTACGGCTCATTCATGATCCCACCTCACCCTACTACATCCACCCGTCTGAAAGTGCGGGTAACTCGTTGACAAAGCATCTTCTCAAGGGGGACAATTACGATGTTTGGGAAAAGACAATGGTCAACGCTCTTGAAGGGCGCAACCGTGCTGGTTTTTTATTCCCTTTGGGGTTTCCCAAACCTAGCGATGAACAGGAACTTGCTGCTTAGAAGGCCAACAATTCCATTATTTGTTCTTGGATTTGTAATAGCGTTGATGAACATATTCAACCGTCTATTATTTCTCATAAAGTGGCACACGAATTATGGTTGGATTTGAAGACCCGGTATGGGGGATCTAACGGTCCTCCCGTTCACCAACTAAAATCCGAGTTTCAATCTTTGTGACAACAAGGTCAGACTGTGGTTGGTTACTACAATCAATTTGTGATGCTGTGGAACAAGTTATATGGATCTGTGGACCCCACGTGCGGGTGTCGTTGTGAGGCCGCAGCCTTGATTCGTGCACGTGAAGAACAGGAGAAAACCCACCATTTTTTGCTCGGACTCGACGACGAACAGTTTGGTCACATTCGCTCTCAGATCATCACCACCGAGCCTGTTCCAGATCTTCATCGAGCTTATGCATTGGTTGTCCAAGAGGAACGACATAAAAGTATCGTTCGAAGCCGGGATGATCGCACAGATGCGGTCGCCTTCGCCATGCAACGCCCCACTCCACGTGTGCCTCGTGGTGACCCACCTCATTACTCGTGCACCCACTGTGGAAAGGACGGTCACTCGGTGGATCATTGTTACCAGCTCCACGGGTATCCCCCTAGAAAAGGGCGAGGCCGCGGCAGTCCCTCTGGTCGCGGTGGTGGCCGTACAGCGCCGGGTGGCAGTGGTTCTTCTCCACGTGCACTTGGCCGCGGGTATGGCACTGCAACAGGGGGAGCGCATGTAGCTACAAACCCTAATGCTTTGGGTCTTACCCCCGATCAGATGACGCGCCTCATCTCCATGCTTGATCCTCCTTCCGTTGACTAGGAAGCCGGGAGTAGCGGTGACACGTCTTTTCGTGAGTGGCTTATTGATAGTGGTGCCTCTCATCACATGACCGGTAATATTGCCCTTTTAACCGATGTGTTTTCAACGAGCCCGTGTGTAATCACATTACCAAACGGCATGCACACCACGGCAACTCGGCGTGGCTGTGTGCATCTATCACCCGATGTGGTGCTTCGGGATGTTTTACTTGTTCCTAATCTGCAGTGCAATCTTATTTCTGTTGGATGCCTTATACGTGATAATTCATGTCTTGTCATTTTTAACAAAAACTGTTGTGTCATACAGGACTGTGCCACGAAGATGGAGATTGGACGGGGTGATGCACACAACGGAGTTTTCCTATTTCGTTCGTCTTCCACCGCATTGGCTACCCAAGTGGACCCTTTTCTCCTTCACAAACGCTTGGGACATCCCTCCACTCAAGTTTTGTCATCTCTTGTTCCTTCCACCAGTAGCTCTAAACTTAAATTGCTACAATCATGTGACATTTGTTTTCAATCTAAACAAGTTCATAGTTCTTTTCCCCTTAGTTCCAATAAAGCTACCAGTGTTTTTTGATTTAATTCATTGTGATTTATGGGGACCATATACCCCTTGTTTAGCAACTGGTGCACATTATTTTCTTACCATAGTAGATGACCACTCTCGAGCTGTTTGGGCTTATTTGATTATTGATAAATCTGAAGTGTCTAGCTGTTTGAAACACTTTTTTGCCATGATTCAAACTCAATTCCATAAAACAATTAAAATTGTTCGTTCTGATAATGGCACATAATTTGTCAATCAGGACCTCCGTTCTTATTACACTACTTTGGGTGTTTTAGTCCAAACTTCCTATGTCGGTACCCCTCAACAAAATGGTCGGGTTGAACGTAAACATCGACACATTCTAAACGTTGCCTGATCCCTTATGTTTCAAGCCCATTTACCTATTGAGTTTTGGGGGGAATGTGTACGTACTGCTGTGTATTTAATTAATCGTACTCCCAACAAACTACTTGGTGGCAAATCCCCTTTTGAAGTCCTAAACAATAAAGCCCCTGATCTCAGTCATCTTCGAATTTTCGGGTGTTTATGTTTTGTTCGCATTAAACCTACTAACAAGTTTTATCCCCGTAGCATAAAGTGTATGTTTGTTGGGTATCCCTCTGGCACCAAGGGCTGGCGTGTGTATGACCTTGCTAACCATCGTTTTTTCACACTCGGGATATTGCTTTTGACGAGAGTAATTTCCCGTTTTCCATTCATCGCACGTCGGCCGAACCCGTTACCCCCATTCCATATGCTGATTTTCCCGAACTACCCACCCTTGCGTCGCCCCTGGCCACTCCCGCCGTCCTGCTACCGGCGTCTGTTCCAGCCGGCCAGCCCGTCCGGCCAATTCTAGGGGACGGACAGCCTACTGCCGATCCACGCCCCTCCGATACAGCAGCCGTTCCCTCTCTTCGTCCTCAACGGCAGCGTCCTCAGCCTTCCCACCTTAGCGACTATATCGTCAATTCTGTTCAATCTCCGGCTCCGGTGTGTTCATCGCCTCCTTAGTCCTCGTCTTCAGGTACACGTTATCCTATTGCCAACTTTGTTTGTTATCATAAATTGCATGACAGGTACCATGGTTTTCTTGGTGCCATCAGTCTGCACTTTGTTCCTAAAAATTATGCTGAGGCTGCTCCTCATGCGAACTGGCGGGCGGCTATGCAAACGGAGCTCTTGGCGTTGCAGAATAATCACACTTGGGACATTACCGCCTTACCACCTGATCGGACAGCTTTGGGGTGTCAATGGGTCTTTAAGACCAAATTTAATTCGGACGACACTAAAGAACGGGACAAGGCCCGTCTTGTCGTTCTTGGCAATCATCAGACATGGGGAGTTGATTACACGGATACATTCGCCCCTGTGGCAAAAATGGGCTCCGTTCGGGTCTTTAAGACCAAATTTAATTCGGACGACACTAAAGAACGGGACAAGGCCCGTCTTGTCGTTCTTGGCAATCATCAGACATGGGGAGTTGATTACACGGATACATTCGCCCCTATTTTTTTCTTAAAAGACATAGAACTCTTACTTTTGTGCTTTCCTAGTTTTTTACTCTTATCGAGAGAGTACAGTTTTCCCAGAAAACTACTCACGCACGAGAAAAGGAAGGCACGAACGAAATTGCCAAAGACGAGTGCAGTGGTCATTGCCATCTATTTTCCCATTCGCTGATTCAATTCTGATTTGTGTTAATTGTTTAATTAGCCGAGGCGAGTCATGGTTCTTATATCTATCGTTACAATTGGTTTATAGAATAGTTCTCCATTCGTATATATTCTATCAATTAGTTACGTGTTGAGAGCATGATCGTTGGATTCATTAAAATCTATAATGAATTCTCATTGCGATATGTATTTTGAATTTCTCCGTATAAACTGTAATGATAAAATAGGCCACCTAATAAATCTAAGTAGATCTGAGTTAAAATGAATATTGAAATCACCAGTAGGATTGAGGATTACAAATTAAAGTCATGCAGGTGTCGTTGCACACATGATGGTCTTGAGGGTTAAAGCGTATGCACGGAGGTTAGTGACACTCTGGTGAGAGCTAGTTGGGGGCCTCACCCCCATCCATTGAGAGATCTTTAGAGTTTGCGCGTGGTTCTTGGTGAGAGCTTAGATCCTATAACTCCCATGGGATTAATGTGAGCCTTTGTCGTTGTAGGTTAAGAGTAGTAGAGACATGAATATAAAAGGTTGAATTGTGATTGTTAATGATGTGATATGATGAGGTGACTTATCCTTATGATGTTGTGAGATTGTATATGTTTGTGGTACTACTCTCTAAATTGATTTTGGCGTTAGATATATTCTCATTCTGCTTTTAGCTTTAACGCCATGAAAACCGGTCAAAAAGAATTAATTAATTAAAATAACTAATTTAAGCATGTGGACCCTGAATGCCTTTAAAATAAAAATGTATTAGGAAAAATATTTCAAAAACATCATTAGATTCCATTTATTTTCAAGAGCTCAAAAATGCAATCAGTTTCAAAATCGGAATCCGTTTAGAAAACAACCCAAAATTCACAGAGACAAACTATTTCTTCTAGGCATATGATTTTATTCCAAAATCAGCAATTATTCCTCTTTCCCATCCCAAATCCCTGCACATTCATAATACATTCCCCTCACCTTCATGTCCCTAACAACCCCAACACATCCACCTTCACCTCTCAATCACTCCTAGACTCTAATGGATGATCATGTTGGGCGGTGTTGACAAGGACGTGATTACCCCCACTCTCCTACAAATTCTCGATAAAAACACATGAGTTGTATTCGTTCTCCACACTCTCATACTTAGAAAGTTCCTGCAAGATTATTCCTCTTCCTCAAGCTTCTCAACCTCCATTAATGGAGTCTTGAAACGGTAGCTCTAGGTAAGTGAGTATATTCCATTTCTATATATATTATACCTATTTTAATGCTCTCTTCATGCCCTTTACCTTTGTTGCATCCAGTTTCGAAGAGAAAATCTCAAGATAAGGAAAGCTTGATGTAGATTCTGACGTCTGTTCGTTGAGCGTACATGAGGTGTCAGGATCATTGTTGTTTCCTCTTCAATTCAAGGTCTGTACCCAAACTCAACTCCAACATAGATTTCGTAAAATTATTTGTGGTATATAATCTCGTAGTTATTATCACTTTTATCGTAAATCCAAAAAACACCTACGGTAAGTACTCGAGTGAACCTTAAATCAAGACTACGATATATGAACACTATGCCATCCTATCACTGTCATATGTTTGTAAGAATGGAGAATCCTATATTTGAAATGAGTAAAAATGGACTTTAAACCACGTAACCCGAAACGACGGTAGGCCATTGGGCTCGACGCGGTCGGCCGCCTCGTGGAACGGTCCACCTGCTGGACCGCATGAAGGAAAAGACGCATTCGCCATGATGACGGTCCACCAATGTCAACCGTTCGTACTGTTCACGCTGAAAGGGCAGTTCTACCGCAGCCCAACAGTCCACCATTACCCTTTCACGGTTCTACGCCTTGACCTCAGCTATTGTTCATGCCGAAGAACAAAATCTAATTACGAAGAAATGGTCAACCATGCCATACAACAATGAACCATCACAGTCTTCCATATTGACGATGACACAGTCGATCGCCATTCCCGAATGGTCGACCGTCCCAAACCCCAAACTGCGATATTTTGACAGTTTGCCTTACTTATTTAATTATTTTTATTAATGTTTAATAACTAAAAATGAAATTTTAAATGAGAAACACTACGTACCAAATTACTTCTTCAGTTTTAAGATATATGTTGAGTGTAGAGATGTGGGTAATTTTAAGAGTTTAGTATGTACGTACTTTTGATCTTTGAGTTGGTCAGGCGACAGGGGATCACTCAATCTGTGTGTTCGTATGAAGAAGAGTATTCTTACCTAGATTCAAAAAGGCCACGGACCAAAATTTGAACCTGAAGAGAAGAGCACTCAGATCTAAATTTAGACAGGGGAGTCTTATCAAGTTTTTTCTCTACGGAGAATGACTCTAAGTGAAGGTGAGGATTAAAGGGTTAAATTAAAGGAAATGATTAAAGAAGAAAATTAGGCTTTTAGACCTTGAATGGTTATAATGTTATTAATTTGAGAAAATGAGAATGTTGACTTTTTGCGGTTTGACTCAACTTAGTTAAAAATGATTATACTATGTGATTACATATTTATGAATTATTCTATAAAATTTGTGTTGTGGTACCACTCAACACTTTTGGTGAGTGTACACTTTTCTTTGTTGTGTGACTATGCGTAGGTAAGAGACGTGATGGAGCCGATCCCGGAGGATGCTGAGATATATGAGATTGCGGCATGGTGCGGGAGTGACTTTAATCAAATTATTATCTTTCATTTCAAACTCTAAATATTTTGGGGCTTGAACCCACATGTGTAACCATTTGTATTTTCTTAAGCTTCTGCAACATTTTATTTCCTACTCCAAAATTATTTTATGACATTGACGTTTTAAATGATTTGAATTATTATTATTATTATTATTATTACTATTATTATTATTATTATTATTATGAATTTACAAATCATGGATCTCACTTTACCAATTTGCTAGCGCTTCGGTCCGCTAACCCACGTGAATCGGGTTACGCAGATCGTGGTGTTACAACTTAGTATCAGAGTATAAGATTTTAAACCTGATCTTCCGTTCAAAATAATTTTCAAACCCATGCCTCCACTCTTCACATTATCTGCACTCTCGGAGGTAATTATTATTCTCTATGTATTTTACTTATTGTGACTTAAGTAAATTATTATATAGAATGAGTCAAAACAAAAGTTAGAACAACAATGGTGGACCCAACGATCACATAATCCACACGGAAGGCTCAAGTTACACCCCTCCGCACAGGGGAAACTCTGAGCAAGGTCTACCCAAGGACCCACCTCAGGATGCAAGAGGTGTGCCACCAGCCATCGATCAGTTACTTAAAAGCCCTGTTGCAGCAGATCACCACGGAGATGGCTGAGCAAACACAGCAGCCGCCTCTGCCACCACCTCCTCCTCTAGCTCCACTTTTGAGCATGGACAAGCTTCCTGAGAATGGCACCATTGAGATCCGAAGTGAGAACTTGGGATAGCTGATGATCGCGATTGAATGGATGGACAATGCAAACTGTGTGTTTGAGAGTCTTGATGTGCGTGCTAATGATCAACCCCATCTTGCAGTGGACTTCCTAAAGAGTAAGCATACAAATTATGGACCTGCACGAAGAAAGATCTACCCCAGCTTAGTACATAGTCGGTCTTCACCAAGACCTTTGTGAATGAGTATGTTCCGCTTCATTTCTGGGAGACGAAGAGGGGGGAGGGAGTTTGTGATGTTAACTCAAGGAGATGTGTCATTACTTGAGTTTCACAAGTTTTTTGACTACCTGACTTACTTCACAGGTGATCTGGTTCAACCTATGAAAGAGTGTATCCCAATCTTCCTCAAGAAGCTCCATCTGGACCTAGAGTAGAATGTGATGGTCATACCACACGATGAATTCAATCTTGCCTTTTCTCAAATCCAGGATTCAGACAATGCACGTATTAGGGAAGATGAGTTGTCAAAGAAGCATCAGGGCACGATTTTGATGCCATCTTCTAGTGTTTGTCCTTGCACGAAGAGGCCCAACCCGGCCTCATGCAGCACTCTCACTACTCCCAACATAAGAGAACAAAATTCGCCCCATCATACTTTTCACCCTCAATCAGCAAGGGAAAGGGAGTGCCTCCATCGTGTTCCTATTGCGGGAAGCTACGTTTAAGCGAGTACTACCTGGCACTCGAACAATGCATGGGTTGTGGACAGCCTGGTCACATCTGCCTAAATTACCTAGCAAGCCCAAGCCCGGTCTTCTCTACACCTTCACCGCATCCACCCGCACCCGCCTAGAGCCAGAGATCTACCATGGGGTCGAGCCAGACGTGCCCGCAGTAGCAACAGAATCATCAAGAGCATTGCCCTACACATACTTATTCCATTCAAGAGCACACTGATGTGGACCCCAATGTCATCGTGGGTATGTGTACTATATTTGACTGTACTATGTCTACTCTTATTGATCCAGGTTCTACTTTGTCATACATATGTGTACCGATGTCCGAAACATTAGATGTTCCAAAGAGTGATCTAGAATATCCAGCAGTGAGGTCCAACACTCTTGGTCATAGTATTCCTATACATCACATATTCCGTAGATGCCCCTTGGTGTTTAGGGAAAGACCTTCCCTACTAATTTGATTGAGTTACCATATAATGAGTTTGACATTATTCTTGGCATGGATTGGCTTTCGGAACACGGAGCACTGGTCAATTTTGACATTCACTCAGTTCCTAGATCCCTCGAATTTATCTCTTTAATATAATGGAGGCTAAGCGTTTGATCTACTAGAAGTGTGAAGCCTTCATGTGTAATATTCATGATATACGGAAGGATCCAACTAGTTTGGATGAAAGTCCTACTGTGCGCGACTTTCATGATGTTTTCTTTGATAATTTACTTGGTCTACCTCCTCCGCACGAGGCAGAGTTCTTGATTGCTCTTGTTCCTGGAACGTATCCCATATCTACTATACTTTATCGGATGCAACCAGGTGAGATGAAGGGACTGAAGGCCCAACTTCAAGAATTGCTTGACAAGGGTTATATTCGACCTAGTTCATCCCCTTGGGGAGCTCGTGCCGTTTTTGTCTATAAGAAAGATGGTTCAATGAGGTTGTGTATTGACTACCGGCAACTCAACAGGATGTCGGCGAAAAACGGTTACTCTCTACCTCGCATCGACAATCTATTTGACTAGCTTCGAGGAGCTACAGTATTTTCAAAGATTGATCTCTGACCTAGATACCACCAGATTCTAGTTCAAAGAGAAGACATTCTTAAAAATGCTTTTCGTATCTATTATGCGCATTACGAGTTCACCGTGATGCCATTCGGGTAGACTAATGCACTTTTCGTATTCATGGCTTCCTACTGTTCCTTGATAAGTTTGTGGTTGTATTTATTGATGATATTCTAGTGTACTCTAAGACACCAGAGGAACATGCTTGACATCTTGAATTCGTACATGGCATTCTTAGGGAACACAAGTTATTTGCTAAATTGTCAAAATGTGAATTTTGGTTCCGAGAAGTGACATTTCTCGGACAAGTCATCTCTACAGACGGTATCAGAGTGGATCCGAAGAAGAAAGCTGCCATTGTTAATTAGAAGACACCACGTAATGTTCGTGAAAGGAGAAGTTTCCTTAGACTAGCTTGACACTATAGACATTTTGTTAATGGCTTTTCCTTGATTGCTGATAAGTTCATTTTGTTCTTATTTTATTCTACATATTTTAAGCGTTATTGCACGAGAATAGTAATAAATTTACCCATTAAAGTGTCTATTAGTGACAAAACTTATGTTTTGTCTCAAGAAGAATAAAATACGTGTTCCAAATTAAATTAAGTGGATTTGTCAATTTTATGTTCCAAATTGGATGAAAAGTTTCAGATTTTAAAGATCATATTATTTCGAAGGTAGAAATCAGTGTCCGGGAGGTAATTGGGCCAATACTAAACAAATTTGGGCCCAAAACCGTGAGAAACCGCAATTGGAAGCCAAATGGACACTAGATTCGGATCCTGGGCATCCAAAATTGGACGCCCATGGTAGTTGGACGCCCAAGAAACCACAGCTTACACAGGAATGACACGCGGCAACCAGCGACTGGACGAAACACGTGTTGGGTGTACAGGCGTCCAAAGTTGGACGCCCAGAGAGTTGGACGCCCGTAGTTCGTAGCTTATAAATACAGTGTGGATCCTCAATCATTTTACACCATCTCTCAACCCCACTCGGGTTTTTTCTCAATTTTAACCAATATTTTGTGTAGATTAGTGTTAGTATTAGTTTTGAAGTATTTTCGGAGGTCTTGACTCCAGATCTGGTCAATTCCGCTTGTACGGAAATCGTAAGTTTTCTTATTTAATAAAATGTTATTTTATTTTATGTTTGCATAGTATGAGTTAGGGTCCGGATCTCTGGGTCCGGACTAGTTTGGTTGTATATTTTTAATGTTAAATTAATGTTGGAATGGTTAGTCTATTGTTCTTGCCTTATTTAGTTATTTAATCTCGAGAGATTTAATTAGCCATTTATTGAGAAAATATTGTATGCCAAAGGGCTATGATATTCAAGATCAACGGATTAAGTACAAATCTAGAAATGGATGAGTAGTAATAGAAATATTATTATTTCAATTGTTAATTAATATGATAAAATAGATCCAAACGATGTCCAGACCCTAGGTCCAGATCTATACTTATACTATGTGAATTTTATCTATTATTTTTACTTTGCTCTATTCATTATCGTTCTGAGAAGACTTTTATAAACCAATCCTAACCTTCGTCTAATTAGAGAAATTAACTAATTCCCTTCGTCCACTCCTCGAGAGACACGACACTCGGAGAGAAAACTAATCATTTACTAAAAAGGTTTACTATCCAAAAAACTACGATCATCAATTGCTTCTCAACTTCATAAAGTCCTTAAGAAGGATAGCAAGTTCGCATAGACTGATCATCTGAAGAAGTATCTTAGAGACTCACCCGTGCGAACTTAACCCAAGCCTAGAGTTGACTACACCATCTACACTGATGGATCGAGAGTGGGACTTGGTTGCGTAATTATGCAACCAGGCCAAGTCATTTCTTATGCTTCTTCGACAGCTTAAGACATAGGAGGTCCATGAAACCACATTCACTATGCACCCAGGTAGCAATGAAATGTACCATGACTTGAAGAAGACATACTGGTGGCCTACTGTGAAGAGAGTAAGTACCAGGTCGTTGGAGATAGTGTATTCTTGAAAATTTCTCCACAGAAGGAGGCCCTCAAGTTTGGAAAGAAATGGAAACTCAGACCTAGGTTCACTGGCCCGTACAAGATTATTGAACGTGTGGGACCAGTGGCTTACTGATTAAAGTTACCCCAGGAATTAAATAAGATACATAACGTGTTTTGCATTTCTATGCTGAGGGAATATCGATAAGATCCCTCACATGTTATCACTCCGAATACTATTACACATGATGGGGATCCTTTTTATGAGAAGGGACCGGTAGAGATACTTGCTTGTGAATTGAAAGTTCTACAAAACAAAACTATACTTTTGGTTAAAGTGCTCTGACGTAATCACACGTTAGAGGAAGAAACTTGGGAAACAGAGGAGTCTATAAGGGCACAATATCCACACCTATTCCTTGACTGGCATCACGTAAATTTTGAGGAAGATATTTTATTAAGGGGAGAGAGTTGTAATGCCACAAAAACTAGTCTAAAGGAATTAATTAAATAAAATAGCTAACTTGAGCGTATATGGATATGATTGCCCCCACTCTCTTGAAAATTCTTGTTAAAAACACATGAGTGGTGTTCATTTTTAAAACTCCCATACATAGGAAGTTCATGCAAGATCATTTCTCTTCCTCAAGCTTCTCAATCTCCATTAATGGATTCTTGAGAAGGTACCTCTAGGTAAGTGAGTATATTCTAAGACTATCAATATTATACTCATTTTAACGCTTTCTTCACACCCTTTACCTCTGTCACATCTAGGTTCAAAGAAAAGACCTCAAAATAAAGAAAGCTCGAAGTGAATAGTGGCATCCATTTGTTGGCCACACGTGAGGTTTTAGGATCATTCTTGTTTCTTCTAACACTTAAGGTCTGTATCCAAACTCAAGTCCAACGTAGATTTTGTAGAATGATTCATAGTGTATAATCTCGTAGTTATTATCGTTTTTATCGTATATGCGAAGAACACCTAGATAAGTACCCGTATGAACCATACATCGAAACTACAATATTTGAACACGATGTCATTTTATAACTATCATATGTTAGTAAGAATCGAGAAATATATATTTTAAATGAGTAAAAATGGACTTTGGCAAACACAACCCAAACTACAGCAAGTCACTAGGCTTGATGCGGTCGACCGCCCAATCGAACGGTCTAACTGCTTGTCCACCTGAAGAGAAGAGTGCTTGGACCCTGACTCATAAGGGGAGGTCTTTTTGATTGAGTT